AACAGTCTAACACCCTGAAGCCTCAACATTGGTGAACCCTAATTCCCTCCCCACCCCCCAAAAGCCTAAAAGATAGAACCGTTGTTATTATTTGGATTGCCACATTGGAAGAAACATTCTAACACCCTGAGCCCTAACCCCCCTCCACCCCCCCACCTCCCCAAAAGCCTTAAAGGTAGAACCATTTCATTTGGCACATGATAAGAACCGTATGAAAAGAAACATTCTAACAGCCTGAGCCACCAACAGTCGTGAACCCTAACCCCCTCCCCACCCCACCAAAAACTTAAACGGTAGAACCATTGTTATCATCAGGATTGCCACATGATGAGAAACATTCTAACACCCTGAACCACCAACAGTCGTGAACCCAAACCCCCCCCCACCCCCCAAAAGCCTAAAAGGTAGAACCATTGGTATATCTGGATTGGCACATGATAAGAAACCGTATGAGAAGAAACATTCGAAACCCTGAACCATCAACAGTCGGAACCCAACCCCCCCACCCCCACCCCCACCCCCCAAAGCCTAAAAAGAACCATTTTATTTCTTTCTTGGCGCGTGATAAGAACCGTATGAGAAGAAATATTCTAACAGCCTGAACCATCAACAGTCGTGAGCCCTAACACCCGCCCCACCCCCCAAAAACTTAAAAGGTAGAACCATCGTTATTATGAAACATTCTCACACCCTGAACCACCAACAGTCGTGAACCCAACACCCTCCCCCTCCCCCACCCCCCAAAAGCCTAAAAGGTAGAACCACTGGTATTATCTGGATTGGCACATGATACGAAACAGTCTAACACCCTGAAGCCCCAACATTGGTGAACCCTAAACCCCCCGCCACCCCCCCAAAAGCCTAAAAGGTAGTAGCATTGGTATTATCTGGATGGGCACAGGATAGCACAAATTCTAACACAAGCTTAAAGGATAGAACCATTTGTTACTGTCAGAATTGGCAACGTACATTTTGTGTGGCAGGCATGGCACTTGGTGACATCGACGTCCATGTTGCGTGGCATGCGTGGCACCTTTTGACATTGACTTTCATTTTTTATGGCAGGCGTGGCACTTTTTGACATCGACCTTCATTTTCTGCGGCAGGCGTGGCGCTTGTTGACATCGACCTTGATGTTGCGTGGCAGGCGTGGCACTTGGTAACATCGTTCTAACGACCATGTTTTTCATAGGAGGTATTTTTTTGGTCCTGTTCTCGCTTTGGAACGCGCCAGGCTTCCAAAGTATGGTGCCTGTCAGTAAATCTCATGTCTGTGTGGTTGGCATTGTTTTGATGATATGTATCATTTTGTGTTCCAAAGTGATGCGAAAATGGCTGTGTTCCAAAGTGATGCATCAGACTGTGTTCCAAAGTGATCCTGCTACCGTGTAAAAGCTTCTGTGCGTAAAAGCTTCTGTGCGTAAAAGCTTCTGTGTGTAAACGCGTCTGTGTAAAAGCTCCTCACCAGCAGCATTCATCATCATATTTTCTTGTGTGCTATCTTCTCGTCTCCTCCCTCCAGCTTTCTTTCGGGCCACGCTGTCGTCTAGTTTCAATCTGCAACGTCGTTTCTTGTTGAAGAATGCCAAGAACATGTGAAAGCATCGCTCGTTTAAAAATTGAACATAAACAGCGCGCAAAGTGATGTAATTTACAGCATTTTGCGCTGTCAGATGGCAAGAACCCAGATAAATACCACAGTTTTAGTCCCCGAAAGTTGATAAAACACTGTTATTTACAGGGTTTCGCTCATGGCACGATTTTCGATTTTCGATTTTACTGTTTTTAAAGACGTGAGCTTTTCCACAGGAGCTGTTACATACAGACGCTGTTACACAAAGAAGTCTTTACACAGAGAACTTTAACCCACAGGCGCGTTTACAGACAGAAACTTTTACGCAAAGAAGTCTTTACACAGCGAGCTTTTACACACAGAAGCTTTCACACACACACAAGTTTTTACACAGAGAAGTCTTTCACAGAGAAGCTTTTACTCGCAGAAACTTTTTCACACAGAAGTTTTCACACATCCATGAGTTGTTCAAAAAAACATACGGAATGTATTTCTGAAGCAGCAAGTCCTCATTCAATAGCTTTCAAGCCCACCCTGCGATGACATCGGGTCAAGTAATCCGGCGGAGCCGACGATGAGCGTCAGCTCTAAAATTCGGCTCCGCCGGCTCCACACGAGTGGCTTGCCCCACGAGCGTCCCAGAGCGACTAGAGCTGAGGCGCGCCCCAAGCCGCCGACCCTCCGACGCCGGGCCCCGAAAAACACCAAAAATCTTTCACTCTGCTGGGGGAGAGCTTTTTGGACGGAATCTGGGTTGCTCATCAGCGTCTCCCCGCCATTTTGAGGGTACCTAAAATCGGAAAAAAGTGCTGTTTGGACACATTTTTTCGGACGATTTTTAGCTTTTCGAAATTCACAAAGTGCTGTAAATTATAGCATTTTTGCGTTTTAACGTCTTTTGCGGCAACAATGCAAAAACGCAGAATATTTTTTAGACCAGAGATGCACAAAACACTGCAAATACCAGTGTTTTTGAAAGCAAAGCAAAAAAACACGGTAAATTACATCATTTTTGACGGGTTGATCGCAAAACATTGTGGTATTTACAGGGTTTTTGCAATTTCAAGAAAACGTGGAAGGCACGAAACACTGTAAATAGCGGTGTTTTGGCAACTTTTGGACGCCGAAACGCTGGTATTTACGCATTTTTTTGCCCAATTACAGCAGTTTTTGCACTTTTTGAAACGGTTTTTTATCTTGATGAACGTAAAAAACGCTGGTATTTACGCGTTTTTCAAAAAAATCGAAGATCGTGACGTGAACGAAACCCTGTAAATAACAGTGTTTTAGCCACTTTCGGGGACTAACACTGTGGTATTTACGCGGGTTCTTGCCACCTGACAGCGCAAAATGCTGTAAATTACAGCACTTTGTGCGCTGTTTATGTTCAATTTTCAAACGCACGATGCTTTCACATGTTCTTGGCATTCTTCCACAAGAAACAATTTTGCAGATTGAAACTGGACGACAGCGTGACCCGAAAGAAAGCTGGAGGGAGGAGACGCACGGAAGCTTTTACACACAGGGGTTTTTACACAGAGAAACCTTTACACAGAGGAGTTTTTTTACACAGAAGGTTTTACCCAGAGAAATCTTTACTCTAAGGAGCTTTTGCGCACAAACGTTTTGGAGTTTTTACACAGAAACTGTTACACAGAGAAGTCTTTACACAGAGAGCTGTAACGCACAGACGCGTTTACACGCAGAAACCTTTACACAGAGAAACCTTTGCACAGAGAGTTTTTACACACGGAAACCTTTACACACAGAAAAATCTTTACACATACGCGCTTTCACACAGAGAAACTTCCACACACAGAAAGAAACTTTTACACAAAGAAGTCTTTACACAGAGTGGTTTTTACAGAAACTTTTACACACAAAAGCTTTCACACAGAGAAGACTTTGCACAGAGGCGCCTTTACACGAAGTAACAAATTGAAATTGGCAGCAGTTCTTTAGGCAAAACCCTTCGCAGGAGCTTTCGGGAACGCACTTGCTCCCCAAAAAACCGTCTATTTCCAACAAATATGTTCCAAACAACCTAAGGAATAATATATTTCCGAAGCAGGTCCTCATTCAATAGCTTTCAGGCCCACACTGCGATGAAATGGAGGGTCGGCGGAGCCGACAATGAGCGTCAACTCAAAAATAAAAGGGCCGCCACCCCTTGCCGCCGACCCCTGTCGTCACAACACCAACTTGTGAGATTCAATGTTGTCACAACACCAGCGGTCTGTGGTGCCCAACGTTGCTATCTGAACCAACGAGAAACTAGCTCCAAAAAGTAGTTCCGACACCTAAAGAATCAACATCTCCGCCACATCCGCCACGTCCACAGCGCTTTGGCCTCGGCATGCCGCTGGTGCTGGCAACACCCTTGGGAAACGCGCTTGGGGGCTTGGCAAGAAGCAAGGGATAAAACACAATGGCAGTGAAGGACGGACGGGCTCCGTTTTGGACGGTCTTGTTCTTGCTTTCTTATTCTTGCAGCTAGCCTCTTGCTCCTCTTGTCCCCTCTTCTCTGACGCGCTCCTTCTGCTGTCGGCGGGGGACGGCAGATTAACATGGCCAATTTGCAGGGAAACCGGTAAACCAATGGTAAAACCTCATTTAAAAAACAATGAGTGGACATGGGCAGTCATGGACATTTCATGTTTGTCGCAAGACCCTCTGAGGTGGCCGTTGCAAAGCCTGCCATGAAAACTGCAGCGCTTGCAATAGCTATGAAGAGTGTACCTTGTACTAGAAAGGAGGTGGTAGGTAAGGTTTCTGTGTATTCCTCGCTGAAAGTTACCAGACTGGAACTTTTTGCCCTTGGATGTGAGCAATCAGGTACAGAGTGCCGGCTCTACACCTTCCGTACTCCCAGTGCAACTTGCAGTGACACATGCCCCGACACGTACTACAAGAGCCTTAGCTGCCTCAGCTTTTTGTAGACTCGTTATGGTTCATGTCCACGAAATATCATAATTAGAAACAATATTGGACACACATAAAAACAATGATTTTTTCAATATATTTATAAACCATTGTTAATGTCAGTTATTAGTTATGGCACTTATGGCAATATATCCTCCATTCTTTACTCATGTCCTTCCAGTGTTACACTTGACCCAGGAACGGCACCGAAAAGGTGGGGGGCGAATGCACGCCGTGTCAGGACAACTGTCTTAAGTGCCCTGGCAGAAATTGCCAAAGGCATTGTGGTTTGATGATGATTATTGTTGTTTGATAATGTTTGATAGTGTTTGATAGGCATTGATAAGCTATGATCAGGTATGATAAGGTGGTCATATGTCAACATGAGTTGATCATTCTTTGATCCGACGGCATGATGATGGCATGCTGGAGCTATTTGGCTGAAGCTCTTCGACGGACGCTCTTCGACGGAAACCCTTCGACTTGCTAATCCCGAGATTTTCGGATGGCAGACATTGATAACAAGGATACAGAGGCAAGCGATGTTGGTCCTGTGCGCAAGAACAGCCAGTACAGCCAGGATGGGTCTTCAGATGACAAAGACTTCGAAGAAGAGCTGGAAAGGGAGGAAGAGGATGAGGAGTACAAGCAATTGAAAGAGCAATTCATGAGGGAGCAAACCTTCAACTTCTCGCGTGTTGTCTCAGCGACTCGTTTGCATTTCCGTCCGGATGTCAAGGAGATCCCAGAGGCCACGGTGCATCATCTGCGGGGCTATGTAGAGCAGGCGAAAGCCCTAGGAGTCATTGCCGCGATCGCCGTCAACACCCATGTGGATCTGGTGAAACAGATCGCTACAGAAGCAGAACCGAATTTGACGCTCCATGTTTTGCACGTCCCATGCTGGGGCGCATTTGTGCCAGCGTTGAATGCACTGCTGAACTTTGCCCAGAGCAAGGGTGCCAAGTACATCTTGTACCAGTCGTTGGAGGTCTGCTGTTCACGGGATGTATTGCAGCGAATCATGGACCACCACGACATGGATACCTTGGTGGTCGGGCCTGTACTTGACGGCCACAAATTTCGTCCCGGAGAACGGATCCTGGACGGTCGCAGCTCGCCCTGGAATACCCTGGCGCTTTGGAGTGTGCGGAAGCTGGCCCTCACAGGCTTCCTGTGCATTGCCGATGGTCTCCCTGATGCGCCGCCATCATTGAATGCAGCAGATGGACAAGAGATGCTGGAGGCCATGAACATGCCGGAGGGTAGTGCGCCTATGGGCAGCAACAGCTGGTGGAGCGGTGAAGATTATGCTTCCTCCGGCTTTTCACAGCAGATGACGCCAGACCAAGCGGTTCCAGCAGGTGAGCAACGCCAAAACCGGTTGGTCGTGGATATAGGATTATAATATATTATAATTATATAATATATACATATATGCTATGAAATTATATGTGATATATGATGTTTGGGGTTCAACAGCTATGGTATTTGGTTCAATGGCTTAGTGGCGATTCTGAATTTCTTGGCTAGATTTCGATTGATTTCATGGGGGTTCTGGATCCGTATCATCCCATCTTGAACCCTGAGGTGTGGAGGAGGTGACGGCCATCGCCTTGTTGCAACACCTGCACGGCTCGGACCGCGCCCGAGCAGTTTTGCTGCAGCTACCAGATCATCTTGAAGCTCAGATGTCCTGGGCAGCCAATTGGGGCAAGGATGAAGCCCGAAAGAAGCGGGTCTCCGGTTTTAGCACGTGTTTGTTCAATTTTTCCTTCTGATTTCTGATGATTAACAGAATTTGGACTTTCCGTGACTTTCAACTTTCCTTTTTCAGAAATTGAAGAAGTTGCTAAGCCAACTGAGGAAATGGCACAAGTACAAGATGGCTTCGAAAGTCGCTCGCCCAGCCGCGCAGCTACAGGAGCTCTTTAAGTTTCACAACGGACCTACCAGTCCTCGAGCTAGCCTGAGCAAGGACCGCTGCAAGGATACCAAATTTGCAGGTGGGAAGGGCTCACTCAAAATCTTTCAAAGCCTTTGAGCTTGGATAGCTACTGTATGGATAGCTCAATATATACATTACATTTTTGTATATTTATATAGGATATAATTAAAGAGTAAATATAAGATACTGTAATATAAGTTTTTACATACCTATTACATCCTATTACTATACAATGTTGATTATGTTTTGCAAGTTGGTGAAGCCCTCCAAAGCTGTCAAGGCGAAGCTACTGATTGCTTTCAACTCTTGCGACGCCGGAGAAGATCCGCGAGTGCAGAGGAGGAGCAAGAACATCAAGATGATCATGACAAGGATGAAAAGGACGATCATGCTCAACATGGACCCATGCATGTTGGCAAGGTGATGCACTATGGTGAATCCATCATGCCGCCCTTGCGGGTTGACTGGATCTGTTTGGTGCTTTGCCTGATCTTCTATGCAAACTCCACATCGGTGTTGGCCACGGCCTTCAGTTGGATGAACGCCAAAGGCCCAGGGCAGCTGGACCGAAAAGATGTAGGGCTCGTTGCCTTGCTGATTGGAGGCGTGTATGTGCCCATGCCATTGTCCTTGTGGCTGACGAGAACAGTGACGGTTCGCTTCGGGCATCGCTACGGCCTCCTGCTGTTTCTCTTCTTCCAACTGCTGGGGCATCTCATCACAGTTTGTGGTCAAGCCATCGCACCCACCACGGTATGGCCTGTGATGTTGGCACGTTTGGTGCATGGCCTGGGCTCGGGCATCCTATTTCAGACACGTCATATTCTGGCCATCATGAGCACCAATGACAATCACACCAATATCCAGAAATGGATTTTCTTCACAGGTGATCTGGGTCTTGCTATCGGAGCTCTTTTCCCGTTCATGCTGTCTACCATCAGCGGCGGGAATCTTCCCAAAGAGGCTCCAGAACTGATCCCCTCAGCAGTTGCACTCTGCATTGAGGTGGTGGTCATGCTGTGGGTTGGATCAGTTTTCCCAAGTCGACTGGTTGGATTACCTGAAGGAGTCCGCTACACTGACTGGACGGCCAAAGGTCGGCGCCGTGCCAAACTCGCCGAGTCTGACCGAAAATTTCGCTTTACAGTGTGGTTCTCGGGCACGACGCGAATCTTTGTCCAGTCTGCCATGGTTCCTGTTGTGGCACTCTCAATGAGGGACGCCAATTGGACTGGAAACTACCGACAATCTTTGGCCGTTGCTTCCATGTTCCTCATGCCTTTGCCCTTTGAAGTGATCGCGGGCAGTGTGTCTTGTTCTTGTGGTCCTGCCGCACAGGATGGCACCACTGTGAGCAAGATTATTTCTGGAGCCATTGGTGGTGCAGCACTGCTGGTGGCAGGTTTGCAACCCCAAAATATCGCAAATGGTGGTGATGGAAAACTCTTGACTTTGCTCTCCAGAATCTTCGAGCTTGGTATCTTAATGATAGCTCTGGGCATGGCAGCTCCCTTCAATGCCGCAAAGTTGTACCAGCAGAAGGATGCTGAGCACTCAATCGTCGTGTTGGAATGGTTGAAGGCTTACATTGGCAGATTGCTGGGGCCCTTCTGCGCGGTCTTGCTGTACAGCTTCCTTGGCTACTTCCCGGTTCTCGGAGTACTGGCATTAGCCACTGCTCTGGTGACCTTCACAGCGTAGTTCGCTTAGTTGCCAGGCTGTTTCACATTATATAACCTTAAAAGTCTGGTGCCCGCACAGCGGGTCCCAAGCAGAAACCCGGGCTGAAAAAGTTTATTTGTGGTTCAACCTCTATTGGTCAGCTTCTGTCATGTTACGTTGGAAGTGCTTGAGCATCAGCGAATGCGTTAGTGCTACTGTTGATTGCTGTTGCACGGCTAGTTTGAGTTGAGCACACTCGAGGTGCGTGAGTGCAAATACCTGTGTGGTCGAGAGCTTACTGAAAAACGACCGAAGATCTTGTCACAAACGAAGCCTTGACTAGTCACTTGTGAATATTGATTTAGAGTCGTCATTGTTGGAATGTAAACTTTCGTCTTAGCAATCCTGCTAGCTGCTACACGAAAGGATACGAAAGGCGCAGAATTGCACAGTGCCGGTGCAGCTTCTTTCATTCCTTGCCAAAGTTGGTGAGGTTTGCAACAACTCCTACTTCCTGGCACAAAGCGGAGAGTGTGTTGAACATTGCCCCGATGGTGAGTATGAAGTTGGAAGTGAAGAATTGGGCCGCGAGTGCATGAGATGTCCCAGTGGTTTTAATCGATGTATCAGTGCCAACTATGCCTCCGAGTGCAACAATCACTTGCAGCTTAACTTTGGTGAGCAACACTCTGTTTGGTTTGGCCTTGTAAATTTTAGCGGGTTGATGATGCCAGCACGTGCCAACTCTTGTTTAGAGAGATGAATTGCTGAGGTATCTCACTGCTGCAGCAAAATGCGAAAGCACATGCCCGGATGGTTGCTGACTTAGCTGGGAAAACGCCGCTAAAATATGCTAAAACAAAAATACAAATTTTTGAACAGAGCAAAATTCGAACAGCGGAATCGCTGCAAGCGATTTCAAGTGCCTTGGTTGGCAGGTCATCATCCCCGGGCGACAATGTCATTTTTTCCGCCCGGGTGTGAATTGCTCTTGCCTTTGGCTGCCTTTCCACATCTTTCCACTGTGAATCACTGTGATATCTGTGATGAAGCGAAAGTGAGGCTTCTATCGCTCCCCAATCCATGGCAAACCGATTGGCCGAGAGTGCCCTCGTTGCCATGAAGATTGCAACAAGTGTGAGGACGCAGCAGTGTTTTCTTGTCTTGACGCCACACTTTGCTGTCAAGTGCAGAGGAGGGCAAAGGCCCCAAATTTATCCAAATTTTGCCTATGTGTGTGTAAGTACACATATTGGACATGTACGAAACCACATGACATGTACAATGACGTGATCGTTTTCCACCAGTGACCTATTGATCTTGCTGCTCTGCAGAACGCTGATGCCTGCTCCGAGTGCAAGAACAGCAAGTTTCTGAACCCGGATCTTTGGTGTGAGACAGATTGTCCCACTGGCTACTACAAGGCAGGTGTCTGTCATTTTTTCGGAAACAGCTCTTCAGTTCCACTTAAATATCAAAATGATTCCAAATGCATGATCGACTAAGACATCTCATGGTGATTCCCGTGGTTTGATACAGCACTCATCCTCTGTCATTATCATCATTCGAAGCTCTGCTTCAGGTGGGCAATGGAGAGATTGGGAACACCTGTGAGAAATGCCCGGAACATTGCCGAAACTGTCTCGACAGTCAGACGCTGGGAGCTCAGCTTGCAGGCTCTCAAAACCATTCAAAACCACCAATGGACCCAATGGGTTGTGTACTGAACCATCCAACTCTGCTTCATGGGGTCATGGCCCTCCACCTACTCGTGACCCTATAAAAGACTTATATGCCCTGCGTCCTGGTCGAATTTGGAGAGGGCAACCAAGTCTTGGAGATTCTACACATGTGGTGATCATTCTTGACAGGAGTCAATATGATAGACATGATACTCGTAGCAAGTTTAGAATAGTTTAGATTACGGTATCTCGCGGTTTATTAGCTTGTGATTGGCAGTTGCAACCCGCCAGCATCACTATAGGCATGCCTCGAAATTGAGATTGTCCAGTTTTGGGTTCTACTGGGTCTGATTTTGAGCTGGCTTATCCATTCTCTTTGGGAGAGCTGAGGTGCACAGAATGTATGGACTTCAAGTACTTGGCCCCAAGCAGGCACTTCATTACTTGTCTTAGTTCAGACTTTCCAACTTGCAAAGCAATGCGATGTCAGGTTATGCAAGTGGTAGTATGAGAGCTCATCGTAGGTCATTGAAGATTGACGTTTTCTTCAGTTCAGCAGTGTTCCCTTTTGCAAAAGACAGCTGTTGCTTGTAGTGTAGATGGACGTTTGTGGATCATTCAAAATGTGTGATTGGGGATCGATTGGTGAATCATATATAATTTAAAGTCACTTATTTTAACATAATTTATATAAACATATTTGAACTATCGATGTCTTCATACATTCACTCCAGTTCATTCCAGTTCGTTCCATTTCATTTCATTCCATGTCATTCCATATCCATGTCATTCCTATGAAAGAGCTTGCTAGTCCCGAAGAAGTTGCTGCCATGGGTCAGTTCCTGATTGAAGGCAGTGTGTGGAGACTTGCCCTACAAATACATTTCACCTTGGAGCAGCTTGGCAGCGCATCACCAACAGGTTCTGAGGGGACGAAATGCTTGGTGTGAGGCGACAGTTCTTGATTGAGAAGATCATCGGTGTGAACTCTTTGACAAGTACATTTTGTTTTAAAGCATACTGCCAGCAAACTTCTTTGATGTGTTCTGACAGAAAAGCATCAGATGGAAACTCATTTCATGAAAGAGATCGTCCGTGTCTGCAGCTAAAATTGCCGTCTCTCTCTCTATCTCTCTATCTAGTCTATCTCTTGGACCATGCATTGTGCAGCAGAGAGAACATTCAGATGTTCCGTCGCACATCCTTTTGCAGCGTAATCAGTCGTATCCTAAGGATGGTGAGGCAGGACGTGTTTGTGCCTATTGTGAGAAAGGTTGCCATAGTTGCGCCACGTCTACCCGTTGCTTGGAGTGTACCCTGGCAACAAGGTCATGCTCATTTGGCAAGTCCCAGAAAGCAAATCTCTGATGGCAGTGAATTCTGCAATGCTCAAACGTGGTTTGCAGGATTTTGCAGGTATATTCTAGTCAAAATTGCTTGTTGCTACTTCAAGACATTTCAAAACCGTAAAACCGTCCAGTTCTGACTCACGATCCATGAACTTGAGATGACACAATGTCCACCTCAACATCCTCTGTAAGATTTCAAAGTTTCAAGATGTTTCAAGATGTTTCAAGTCTCCCTGAAGCCATCCCCATGAAACATGGAAAACCGACACGAGCTGCGCGGCCCGAGGCAACAGCTCTCTACATCTGGACGAAGTCTTCAATTGTGCTGCCCTGAGACCCATGGGCCCATGGGCTTATTTCGTGATGCATGGAATGTGCCACGGATCCATAAGATCAGGGATCCGTGTTGAAGCCATCAGTGCTTTGTGTAATTTTTGTTGAAGCCATTCCGCTATTCTATCCATCCTGGTGGTATCCCAATTATGGGAACATCTGCTACGGAGAAAGCCATTTGCTGGGACCTGAGGTGTTGAAGTGTGTCCTGATGGTTTCTACCCCGAGGCATCTGGAACCAGCATCAGCAACATCAGAAGGTAATGCAGTTGCAGAGGGTAAATTGCTGAGGAGACCTACCATATAGATCCATACAGGTCCATACAGCACAATTCTTCCACCTTGATACAGTTAGCAATCTCCTCTTCTATCTATCTCTCCCTCCCTCCCTGCCTCCCTCCCTGCCTCCCTCCCTCCTTCTCTCTCTCTCTCTTTTTCTCGCTGCTTTTCTTCCTTTCTTTATTCCTGGGTGTGTGGGTCCTGTTGCTTCCTTTCCACTATTTTGCCAACGTTCCACGCTTGTTTTCGTTTTGTTTTTTAGAAACCATTGCAATATCTTCCAAAGGGTTTTCAATGCAAAATGTAGCCTTGGCATTTGGTGACTCTTTGCTAAAGCACTGCCAGGGAGATGAAGATCGAGGGCGCAGCTGCTTGAGTTGCCCTACCTATTGCAGCATTTGTTCAGGCCTGGACCATGGCATCCATTGGCATTGCCTGAAATCTCTGGCGGCCAGGTCCAGACGTGTGCCTTGAATGCAACGTTTTCCGCTACTTGAACCCCGACAGCAGTTGTCGACCAGAATGCCGAAGCCTTACCAGGACCAACGCTGAAGACCAGACGCAGGAACTGGTGATGTAAAATGCAATGCTCGTATATTCTCGTACTGTAGCTGGTGCGCAGCTGCCAAATACTATATCTTTTCAGTGGGTTCTGTTCCCATGGCGTGTCCAGGCAATTTTGTCAATTGATCATGACCTTGGATTCTTGAAATCTCAATTAACTGATTCATCTTGGCACTACTGTGACTGTAACCACAATTAATCATCCAAAAAGGTCCGGACGGCTTCTACAGACTCGGCAGCGGCTTTCAGACGGGTGGAACGTGTCCTCGTTGCTTCCACACCTGCAACAAGTGCGACTCGGTGTCTTGGCTGATTTGCAAAAAATTGGCTGTTGGGGTCGTACCCATAGACAAGCCACCTCAACCGTTTTTTTCCCTTCTTAGTGGCAGTGGTAATGTAAGAACTGCAGTATGTGCTCCAACTCTTTATTTTTTTATTTTTCTTTGACCAACATTCCCAGGCAGATGTTTGCAGTGAGTGCAAAAACTTCACGTGTCTGGACTGCACGGAGTCGACTGCGAGTAGTGGATGTACTGGAGCCAATGGCAGCAGAAGGTCTGTGTAGAAGAGCAGAGTAAAGACAGACTCAGACCAAAAGTTTTTTTTTCAGGAACCTGTGTAGTTTCATCACTGAGTGACACCAAGAGTCTGTTTCAAAGTCTAGTAGCACTGGAGGAAGAAAGACGGACTTTTTACATGATATATTTATATTCTGAATTATTCTGATCTACTGTCTACTGTATCTGATTCTTTCCCTTGGATCAGCACAGGGCTTTGCTCTGGGGAGGTGATTTTTCTATGAGGATCTTTGGTTGCAGGTATTTGACGCCTGACTGGAAGTGCAACTATGAATGTCCAGCTGGCTACTGGGAACGTGGCACTGAAGAGATTGGTGGCACGTGTGAGCTGCTCACCAGCAAGCGGGATGTCAGTCTGGATAGTGGACCAACTTTGGGGGATCAACGAGGTTTTAACAGCGACTTTGGTGTGCACCATGGCATACTGTATCAGTACCAAAGTATTTAGGATTTTCGGCGAAGTAAGTGAACAAACACGGGATATCTGAGCTTCAGAAAAATCTGGGCCAAGACTTGAGGCGATGTTCCGACAATTGTATGGAATGCACCAGTGCAGAAGTGTCCGGGGCCAAGAATCAGTTTGCCGTCGTCAGACAAATTCAGCAAGATTTAGTTTGAGCCGAAGATACCACAAAAAATGAGCAGATTTGACTAAACATAGGATACTGGTTGCACTTTGTTGCATGTTCGTCACTGACTTGATTGATGCCATGCTGCTTCCTTAGCATCCAAAGCACTTGCCGCTTTTCAGGTGCGAGGTTTGCCAGAACGGATATTTCTTGGATATCTCCAGTTCGACCTGCAAGAAAGAATGTCGCAGCCTTGTTAGCTTGCAGAATTTCAGGACTGTTGGTGACCAGAGCTCACTGTTTGGGCTGTTTGGGTGCTTGTTCCAACATGATTAACACGTTTGCTGCACGGCAAACACTGGAGGCCCACCTGGTTTCTGGAGCAAGATCCCAGATCCGAAAGTGGAAACCGGGCGCACCTGCGAACTTTGCTCGTGGCCCTGCAACAAGTGCGATTCGGCCAAGATTTGTACGGAATGCAAGGACTCCTCGTACCTCACGCCATTCGAGACATGTGCTTCTTGGCTCTTGAATATGAGATCATGGATGATCGTGGTGTTGTGGACATGAAGATCATGAAGGGTATCTTCATCATTCTCTATCCTGATTTTCACGGGACATGTTGAGAATATCAGAGGCTCAGAATTTTCGTAGTCATTTAGAGCAGTGGCCCTAAACGCCAGGGAATTCTTCGCATCAGATGATGGAAAGTCCGTGGCCCATTGCACAAACACGTAACTAAGGAGTACACATGCCCACCTGGCTACTACCCAGATGGCATTGGAGAGATCAATGTCACTTGCCAGCCATGTTCGCAAAACTGCGCTACGTGCGATACCTTGGAGGTCTGCCTGCGACTTAGTGCGTGATGTGCGAAGAACTTGTCGGTTGCAAGTTCTGAGTCGGAGTCTTTTGGACCCGACTCTGAGACTCTGAGGCACCGCCTGCAAGAATGAGAAGTATTTGAATCCAGATGGTTCATGCCCAATGCCCAGTATGCCCAGTATGCCCAGTTAAATTTCTGCATTGTTTTCCATGAAATTTGCAGGTGGCTGCCTTGCTTCGTTACATCTCTGAGGTCAGGACTTCTGTCCTGATGGCTATTGGGAACTTCCAGCAGCAGGTGGTGTTGGCAACGCTTGCCCACTTTGCTGGGGGCTCAGCTGAATGATTTGAGCCCCAGACATGATCTGGGATGGCCCTTTCGAGAGAGAGAATCTAGCATTGTGCCAACCAGCCAACCAGATTGACGTATCACCGTATCAGTGCTATTTCATTCCAAACTACTTGTACATCCCTACTGCTTGGCAAGCCTATTACTCTTTAGTGATCAAACATGGCAATGGACAAATTATGAAGAATCACCATGGGTATCCATGGGTACATGATTTTCCCGTTGAACACATCCAATCTTATTTTAGGGGTTTCCCATTGCCATGACGGTAATTGTGTTTTACTTTTGGGATGGCCAGAAACTTGAAACCACCTGCCACTCTACGATATCAGAGGGGTCCAATGGTGTCATTAGCCACGAAGGTGCAGAGAACTGCAGCCTGTGCACCAGCGCCACAGTATGTCAGGAGCGAAGATGGGTCTCATGGAATACTTCAGAGCTATATGGGGTTGTAAAGGAGTTATAGATAGTTATAGATAGTTATACTTCATATAACTACCAGAACATCTTCAAACCAAGCTGTTTGGGGATAGACTGGGAGAACTTTGCTACTAATACTAATTGTATTATATATAATATTTATATAATATATTATTATATTATATTATTATATTCAATTCGTAAATACTATTTGAATAGGCCTGTCATCTCAGTTGTCAACGCTGCGAGGAATGTCGAAACTCGACATATTTGACGCACTACGACTGGTGTGAAGTAACCTGCCAGGATGGTCCAGCTCTCAGCTGTCAACTCTGAAATGAACAAAGGATGACGAAGGTAGATGCCAACGGGTAAAAACCAATACTGTAATATATATATATTATATATATATATATCGGCTAGGATTTGGTTGAAAACAGGATACTCCCAACTCGAATGGTTGATCATCAATTTCAACTTCCCTAAATTTTCCGCGATTTTCCCTTCGAAATGGCAAGCTACTGCCGCAGCACAATACGAGGCTGGTATCACGAAGGCATTGAGGATATTGGTCGGCATTGCAAGGTGCCGGGTGAATGATGGGGTATCTGGTGGCAAATGATAGTCAACGAATGTGAAAGATATAAAATATACAAATGTAAATGGTAAATGATGGTAGATGCATGCAGGACATTGCAAGGTGAATATACTATACACGAGTCACAAGTTCTGTACAGGGTTGAGTAAGACCCCAATGCTGCGCAACTTGGAGGTATGCGATCCGACTTGTAACAAGTGCGAGGCGGAGGACTATTGCACGGAGTGAACCTTGGCCATGAAGAAGTGCAACTGTCGACATCTGTGGACCCATACGCACTCTACCATTACTGTTTGGGCAGGGGGCAGAATCAAAAACTCATAGCATACTCATAGCAAATGGCCCAGCAGATTTTTGCTGTCTCAGAATCCGAGGCAAGAGCTCCCTCTACTTGACCAGCAGACATCTCTGTGAGAAGACCTGTCCGAAAGGATTCTATGCCAATCGCACAAGAGCAGTGGGTCTGGAGCTCAGCGCGCTGTTGGAAGGTGTTAAAACGCATGGATCGATGATGCCCTAAGGTGGTGAATGTGAAACCTGCCCGGAGCAGTGTACTCAATGCACCAGTGCTTCCACATGTTCGGAGTGTAGGAATGGTTCTGAGCTCAGCATTTTGCCACAGCTTTGAATCTTTGGCTTTGTCCCCAAATATACCAGACGAAATCTGTGGGGTTTTTGTGTATCATATTAAAATTGATTAAAATATGTTTCTTAATGCCGACATCCAGGTACACCCCATTGACAGCCCGGTGCAGATCGCACCTGCTGAGGTCTCTACCTGACACCCGACGGCTTCTGTGAGGAGATGTGTCCAACTGGGCACTATGCGAAAGTAGGGGATCCCTTTGGAGTTTCCTGGTGCCAATTTTGTAGCTGCCAATTGGATGAGCTGTGGACATGAAGTGGACATTGAAGTAGGACATGTGGACCAAGAGCTTCTGGTTGGGGTAGTTATGGTAAGCTATGGCCCGTGTTCATGGTGTCATAATTTGGACAATGATAGATTGAAGATGATTAAAGGTGTTGGAGATACTCGTACTGATCAAATGTAAGCGCACCCAAAGCCCCAGCAGCTTTTTATTCACCACTCGCTCAGCATGCATACATTTTACCGCTGGAGACCAGTCCCTCATGGGTTGGGTTGCGGGCTTGTGTGATCCGTTATGCTAAACGACGCTCCTGTGTCGTAATCAGTTTATAAAGTGCTGATTGACTGGGTGAGGAAATTGCAAACATGGAGAAACAACTATGAACACAACATTTTTTTTCACTGTTATGCCGGTTATGCACATCCCCTTTTTAAGAGACATGTTTCAAATCCGAACCCCCAATAGCATCAGCATCAGCATCAGCATCAGCATCACCACCGAATAACCACCACCACCACCAGCAGCAGCAGCAGCAGCATCATCATCATCATCATCAGGAGCACAATCACAGTCATGATCATAATGACAGTCACAATCGTACTCATACACAGCATCAATAACAATCATCAACTCCAATGCAGAAGTGGTAACAGCAGCAGAAACAGCCACAGGGACAATGACAACCACCACAACAAAAGCAACAACCACCACAGGAGCCTTTTGTGACACGTCCCCGTGCGCTAATCCAAGGTTGGTGGTACCTGTCCCATGTGCCCAGAGAACTGCCATGCCTGCAACAATCCAGAGGATTGCTTGGGGCAGAGGGCTGTGAGGAAGGGAAGCTTTTTCGGTGGCCTCACTACCAGAGCTGTTTTTGGTGTGGCGGACACCGGTACACACAGAGTGAGGAGAAAAATCACACATCAAATGAACAACAATTTCAACATATTTCAACATATTTCAATGATTTTCAATGATTTTCAACATTTCCCTGCCAGCGAAGCTGGTAACCCGACTTGACATGACTTGATCACCTGCCAGGAGTGCACCGTTTGCCGGCACTTCACTCACCTGACAGCGTACGGTCAGTGCAGGTCTGAATGCCCTGCTGGTATCTTGGATGAAGCCCAGAGAGTGCCAATTTTTGAATGGAGCAATGTACCCCCCAAAAAACAAATTGCAAGGGCATCATTTTTTTTTATTTGCACCTGCACCCACCTTGTAATTGAAGAACATCACATTCAGGCAACTGCACCATGTTAAAAAGTCTTGGTGTGGTGAGAACATGCTTGGCCCCAATGACCAGTCTTGGGAGAAAAGCAGTCCTTGAAAATGTAACAAGTTTCGAACAGACTGCAGAACCTCCAGAAATGCGGTGTCTTCTAAGGATACTACGAGAATGGTACCGCAAACATTGGTGGAAATTGCAACAGGCGACACGACAGCTGTCTTGGAAAACGATGCGTGCAGAACATTTTTGTCCTGATCTTGACAGTGCAGAAAAAAAACAACAACACGTCAGAGTCATTCAGAGTCTATGCTGATGGTAGATGGCCATGTCAACTACACTCAAGGAGTCACTCAAGTTCGCAGGTGTCCATCTCCATGCAACCTATGCGAGACCGACACGGTTTGCACTGAGTGTGCAGAGTCTTCGTATCTGACTCATACAGGCACGGTCCACTGACACCTTTTTTAGTCGGTGACAGCATGCTTCTGCAGTGCATGTCATGTCATGATGTGCAACTAGACTAGACTTTAAGTCAAGTTATGTACCGAATACTTCACTGTCAAGTCTTGCCAAAACATTGATTCACATTGAGACTGCATGGTTGTAGGTGCAACTGTCACTGTTTGAAATAAATTTGCTTATTGGGAAACACTGCTGCTTTCAACCCCCCCAAGCTGGCGTGAGGCACCTGTTCGTACAAGTGTCCAGATGGTTACCACTACGAAGGAACCGAGGACATCGGACGGTTTTGCAAGATTTGCCCTCCAACCTGTGTTACATGCCTTGGCGCCTTGGTTGATTTTTTAAAGTTTTGGTTGATTTGCTTCTGTTATTTTCTGTTTTGCTTTTGTATCTTTTGTCTTTATGATTGGAGTTGCGCATGTTTGACACGTTCTTAGAACTTGATAACGCGAGTCTTTGTTGATTCCTTTTATATGGCGATTGCATGGTTTTATCTTATATTGTTGCTGGCCGTAGCATTTGAGGTCAAGGGCAGTGCAATCTGTGCCAGAACTACACCTACCTGACTCCCGACCAAACTTGCAGAGCCCTCAGAGGTTTTTGATGGGGCAACGATCTCAAGTTCCAAACCAAATAATTACAGACTTTCGATAATGCGATGGTGTTCTGCATTGGAAAGATCATAACATGGAAGAAAAGCCACCATCCAGTGATCCAGTTGCTGTGTTGTCCAACCCACCATCCAGTGATCTCACTTTCCAAGGCGAGTACACGTGCCCAGATGGTCACTATCGACAAGGCATTGCAGAAACTGGCAACACTTGTCCTGCTTGTCCTGGTGACATGGAGAACCTTGGTGGGGATTGCCCTGGTGGATGGTCATCAACCCATTTTCATAGGGAATTATATATATATAATAATAATAATAAATGATAGTAATAATAATAAATAAATAATAATAATAATAATAAATAATAGTAATAATAATATTTTTTTTTAAAATAATAATAATAATAAATAATAGTAATAATAATAAATAAAAAATAATAATATATAATATATAATAATAATAATAAATAATAGGAATAATAATAAATAAAAATAATAATAATAATAACAATAATAATAATAATAAATAGTAATAATAATAAATAAAGAAAAATAATAATAATAAATAATAGTAATAATAATAAATAAATAAATAATAATAATAATAATAATAATAACAATAATAATAATAAATAATAGTAATAATAATAAATAAAACAAATAATAATAATAAATAATAGTAATAATAATAAATAAATAAATAAATATAATAATAATAATAAATAACAGTAATAATGATAAATAAATAATAATAATAATAATAACAATAATAATAATAATAATAATAAATAAATAAATAATAATAATAATAGTAGTAGTAGTAATAGTAATAATAATAATTATAATTATAATATATAATATATAATATATAATAATAATAACAATAATAATAATAATAAATAATAGTAATAATAATAATAATAAAAATAATAATAATTAATAATGATAATAATAATATATCAAATATATATTCGTATATATATAATTACATACTAAGGATTCCCAATAGTGGGACGACGATGCCCCATATGGATCCATATGGCCCGTAGGCCATATTTTGAGCATGGCACATATGGATGATGAGTTGGAAATACACTCCCTGCACTCTGGGGTGTCTTGTTAAGTGTTTTTGTAGCACCCGGTGCCTGCAAGCCCTTTGTGAATGACAGGGGCTGCTCTCAATCCGAGGAGATGTATCAATACAACCTATGCCACTGAATGCCCGGCTGCTCAGGCAGAGGTCGTGATCAAATTGGCAAGACGTTGAGTTGATTAGTTTCACACACACACATACATACATTTTCAGATGGTGGAACTCCTTGACATGATAATCTGGAAAATTTGGTTGGAATCAGCGTGTACTCAGGCAAGAACAAGAGATACTTGACGCCTGCAGCAAAATGCGAAGAAGGCCCAGCTGAGCATACTGACAAGGGAGACCATGGGCAACTGCCTCAAGCACAGGGTTTGACTTCTTTACTCATCTGTAACAGTTACAGCATCTACCTGTTCTTGTTGGCATTCATCCTCATCTATCAAGGGGTCCATCAACTCTTGACCAACTGTTTGCTACGTTTGCGTCTGTGTAGCAAAACAGGGCTGCACTGGGCTTGGCTGCCCAGATGGATTTTCTCATGGTCTGCGGCCAGGCTGCCCAGATGGTTTCTACAGACTTGGCGCTGGCGAGGTGGGCAGATCGTGCCCGCGTTGCTCCACAAACTGCACGCTCTGTTCCAATGCGACCACCTGCCACGAATGCCAAAATGGACAATATCTTACCCACACCAATTGGTGTGATCACGTCGCCTGGATGGATTCAGAAGTTGTATTGGTGCCACAACTTCGGTGAATTCACCGATGTGTTTGCGCTCATGACGTTGCATCAGTGATTGCATCCCGCACTTGGTCGAATCTGAGGAGTGCCCAGATGGCTACTACAAGTTTGGAGAAGGTGATGTTGGGCGAATTTGCAAGGCTTGCAAGGCTCCATGCAACACCTGTCTTGGACCTGACTGGTGCACAGAGCATCCTGGCTAGTGGTGGTGTGTCATCTGTTGCTGGGATCGCCGGTTAGGACCTCCCAACCATCCACTTGGTAGCGATGAGCCATCGTAAGATATCGTAAGCATTGTCCATCGGCCAGTTCAGGTCATGCTTGGCTGAGGTGCAAGCAAGGAATGTTCCTGACGCCCAAGGGCACATGCGAACTGAGCTGTCCTGATGGCTACTGGGCATCTGTTGGTGCCAATGGCGTTGGAGGTACATGCCGCAGCCCTAGTGAAGACATTGCCTGTGGGTCGGCTGGTGGCTAGCTGGTCGCATTGATAGGAGGTCACATGCCTGGGTTGACAATTTCAATCACTGGAACAACTTGCATGTTTGGATTTTGCGTTTAAGTTTCGCATGTAAACTAGCATGTCCGAACCCAAGTTTCAGCTCCAATTCTTGCGATGGCTCAGGTGCAATTTGCCCTGAGAACTGTGAAGAATGCAAGACTGAAACGCCTCTTGGCGTGACAAAAATTGGCCCAAGCAAGGGCGATTCCACGGTACTCTAGTCATATTGCAGAGAATATTGGATGGGGGGAGGTGCTTTTGCTTGTGCCTGTCATCCAAGGACGTGCACCGTGTGCACAAACAATACCTATTTGCATGCAAATGAATGCAAAGGCAGGTGTCCAGATGGTGGCTTGACTAAGTGCATGGCAGTTTTCTTTTGGTTGGATGAACAGAGCATCGGAAAAACCTAGTGGCACGTACAAGTTCTTTTTTTAGTTTTTGTGTGTCCTTCCTATGGTGGGTCCTGTAGCAGCCACACAAAGATGAAGAAGTGTGAACTGTCCGATGACACCTCACGGTTTGGAAATTAATGTGCTCAGGCTAGGGTAAGACGTTGGAAACATCTAGATTGATCTCAATTTCGAAACAGATTATACTGTAAATGACCTCAGGATGAAGATGGAACATGACAGAGCGACCGTGCCACGATTCAACAAGAGTTGAGGTTGGTTCCACCTGGGAGAGGATATCTCAAATCGAGAATGTATATCCTGCAAACCGGGCTGCAGTCAATGCTTCAACCTCAGACTCTCAGATGGGGGTGCGGGTCTTTGAGTCTTTGTGCGTTTTGACGTCTGTGAGCCGATTGTTTGATGCCTTGGGCTTGCAGGGTGGCCGCCAAGGTTCCAATCAGACCTGGTGCAGCGAGTGCAAGGATGGTTTGTTCCTCACAGCCAATGGCCAGTGTGAATCTACCTGTTCGGCTCTCGGTTTTCACATTGCAAAACTTTGATTAGTGCTGCGGTGATTTGGCCGAAGATGCTGCTGGATTTGGATAAGGCGGTGATGGCTCAAATACTTTGACCTCCAAGATTGGATGGTTTATTGACGGTACACGGAAAAAGTGTCTAACTTGGCCGTTCAAATGGTTACCGGTTTGGTTTTCGGTCACCTAGGTGGGTCCATTTTTGTTAATCCTCAGGTCCAGACGGCTTCTTCAATCTTCCTGGGACCAACGGTATTGGTGGCGTGTGCCAGCTTTGTGCAGAGAACTGCACCAAGCAGCTTGATGTCATAGGAATGAGCGGAATCATGTGGCTGTTGCCATCATGTTCGACCATGGCTTCAAGGCAGCGAGATTTCGTTTTTGAATATCCATTTGCAAGCACAACATTTAGCAGCATGGCATATCATATAGGCACATATAGGCACGAAATTTCAACATCTGCAAGGTGCTCGGCATTTTCGTTGCTTGTTTAAACAACATCCAACTGCTGCAAGAGCCAAGGTGTGAATGGTGGGATCGGTGCTTGGAGTGCAAGGCCTCCAAGTATCTCACTCACTACAAGTGGTGCACAAAGGTGCCTGTGCGAGAAGAAATTTATCCGTTCGGTCATGTTGGGCCTATAGGGATCAGGACCCCACTTCAGTTGACGTTTAAGTTTTTGGGACTGGGTTGAGAATGTTGAGAACCCGAATTAGTTTTGAGCTCCAACTCAACTCGATGGTAACAAGTTTATGTAAACCTTTATCATCCTCTATCATTATCATTATAATTATCATTATCATTATCATTATAATTATCATTATCATTATCATTATCATTGTCATTATCTATCATTATCATTATCATTATCATTATCATTATCATTATCATTATCATTATCATTATCATACCATATCAATATATTATATCAATCATATCCATGTCATATCCTCGTTTCGATAGGGTGTGGAGAAACGACGGCTGCTTTGAGAACCAAGCATCTCCATAGTGTGCTACTAGATGGGGTTCCTCCCAGGCATGCCCAGCTGGCTACTTTGAAGATGGAGAAGGAGACTTGTGAAGCTGTCGTTGTGAGGCAATGACCGCAGAGGTGAGGCCGTTTTATATGCAGCTGCAACCTTTTCAGACACCAATGACAGAACAACATGAATTGAAATTGAGTTCTTTGAAGTAAACGCTGCAGCTGAGGAGAAGTGGGGCGGGTGTGTGTCGCTTGTCCAGACAACTGCAATACCTGCGAGAACAGCCTGCATTGCAGCTTGTCCCACATTTCCAGCAACAGATCCGAATTCGCATGAACTTGAAATGTTATAACTTATAACTTTTCTTTTCCCTCAGCCTTTACAGCGTTGAACACAGTTCAACACGCACACCATTCCCTTGGCAAGGCACCGAGTGCAAAAACAACAGCTACTTGACACCGATGAAGCAGTGCGAAGGCCCCTTGGCCCTTGGATCCCAGTGAGTCAATCAAACAGCTTGGCCGGCTGTGCAGTTCAAAGATTCGACCTGCAAATCTGTTCCATTCTTCATTTTGTGTATTAACATGTACCAACCACTGAACACTGTGGGTCCTCCGATTCCATACATCTCCAAACATGATTGGATGGCTGCCATAGATGTAGCAGATGCCATTTCTTGGGGCTGTCAGATGTATGACTCGTATGACCGTGTAACAAGAGGCCTGTGCGACCCCATTGAGTCATTGAGGTGAATGTCCGAATGGTTTCTTTCACGAAGGATTCCGGGAAGTCGGGCGAACCTGCCAAGCGTGCAGTGCAAACTGCAACCAGTGCCTTTCTGCCACAGAGCGCCCCAGATGGCATTTAGACATGGTTGATTGATGGTTGATTGTGAGGTTGTAGTGATACCTGCTTTCACATCTTTCACTGGGGATGATGAAATCCATGATTGGACCGTATTAGACCTGTGGTAGCCAACCACTAGAAGCGGATGACACAAGTGTATTTGGAGACTCAGTCACTCAGATGCTAGAGTCTAGAGGCACTCTAAACAGTAGGTCATGCGAGGTTTTGTGGGTGTGGTGACATGATGGTCTTTGGCCCATCATCGAAGCTGTTGTACTTTGTCCAGGTGTCTCGAGTGTAAGGGCAACGCATACCTCACTGAAGAGCAGGAGACCTGTGGGCGACGCCTTTGGAACACATAGCAAGACCAGAAAGAGATGCAACTGGCAGGTATGTTTATGTTGAGACGCTGCATGGTAATATCACTCAGGAAAATCTGATTCAGCATGATCTCTAAAAAAAGGCAGCTTCCCAGACTTGAGACCCCCCAAAACCACGGCACTTAGTCGCTTTCAGTGAGGAATCCTATCCATTATATTCCTATGATATCCATTGATATCCTATATGGTTGGGGCATAGAACATGAATGGTCCTGCCAGGACTGTGCAGCCAGTTGCCCCAAGGGCTACTATGGGCAAGGTGAACATATCATTGGAGATTTGGCTAATCCCAGGCTGCATTTTTGTCAACTCACTTTGATGAGATGCCTTGCATATTATAATATGCTGCATGTAACACTGCATGTGCTGATTTGCTTAAGGAAATACCTGCCAGAAGTGTTCGAAAGACTGTGAAGAGTGTGATGGTCTCGAGCTGTGTACATACCTCAGTTTGCAAACCGCATTTGTGCAAGTTTCCCCCCTCAGTTGGACGTACAGTAAACTCAACAAGAAAAAAGGAAGCGTTTTTGAGGTTGCAAAACAGGTTCAGTAATCAAATCTGTCAATGGACAATTGCCTACACCTCCACCTTCACCATTTATAGAGGATTCACCTATTGAGACGGGGGATCTGATCAGCATTCGCAAAGCTTGATTCCCATAGGGAACTTTTCCACAATCCAAGACCTCTGCGGATACGCCATGATTTGCTAAGGCACAACATGCGCCAACTCCACGTTCCTGACGGACAGCAAATATTGCGCAGGTGAGTGCACCACAGGCTGGAACAGCCGAAATGGATTTCTTTAACACATTCAAAACCGAAGCAACTGAACCGGATTCGTGTCTATTTGTTGAGCCTCGTCAGGCTTCATTCAGACTGGAGACACAGCCAGTGGTCGTGTTTGCGAAGAGCTCTGCTTCTGGTGCAACGGAGGTTGAGGTGTCTTGGACCCCTTCGAACCCTTTCAGTCCTGGCGGCCCCATACTAGATCATCCTAGTACTTGAAATTCCCAAGATTTCTGTAGGCTCCATGGCTACTGGAAAAGTGTGCAACGTGCATGCTTGTGCTGTGATGGGTGCTGCAGGTGCTATAAACGTGCCTTGTTAAAGTTTCGATGTTGAAAGTACTTGCCATGACGTCAGTAAATTTCGCGTCAGAAACTATCGAGTCGAATCAGCGTCACAGAGCAGCATCCGGAATCAACATCCAAAGGTTCGGTTCAGCGTCGCAGAATCACCGTCAAAGCCGATCCTGGATCAACATCCTGGATAAATGGTCGGGATGGTCAGGATGGTCGATGGTCGGCATGAGGGTTTCTTTAGGGTTTCTTTAGGGTTTCTTGTAGGACCGTCGGGAAGGTCGGAACGGTCGGGATGGTCGGAATGGTCGGGATGATCGGAATGGTCGGAATGGTCGGGATGGTCGGGGTAGCGCGCAAGGCTGCGATCTATACCGTCCCGATCCAACCAATGTAGATTCCGATCCAGCCACATCGATCTGACCCATCTAGACTTCGATCCGACGACCCCGATCCAACCAACACCTGCATGAAGTTGCAGTTCAAGGCGACCAAGAGTCTTCTGCATGATTCTGCTATATCAAGGAAGCTGTGAGTGGATTCAGAGCTTCCTAGTGACGACAGACCTGTCAGAGCCGTATGAACTGGTTGCAATACCACTTGAGCCAGTTGTATCAATACCGGTTGACATGTGGTGATCGATCTAAAGGTCCTTGTAAAGAGTTTTAATTGCGAAGACCGTTAATGTTATGTTGGGAACCCTCGCGAAAGTTTGTTTTCGAGTTCGCAAAAGTACATTTTTTTTCGCGAAAGCTTCGCGAAAGTTGGATATTACAATCATTATGTAAAGGGCTGCAGTCCGCTGCCGCCTGCGGTCTGGCAGGAGAAGGGCTTCGGAGAATTTCGGTTTGGTTCTGGTTCCCCGTGTGGTGGTGCTTTTGGACAGTCACTGTGCCCTTCATAAGTAGCAGCCGAGCTTCCAAAGGTGAGGCTTCGCGACAGCCAAACGCCATGGTCCTGAAGCACACATCCTTGCACCTGCCGCTGTCGCTGCCTAATGATGATTTTTGAAGTCTCAATAAAGAAGCTCCAAATGCAGCAGCCAAGTTTCCAAAAGTGATGCTTTGCGAGAGCCAAACAGAAAGACCCCTGGTGTTCGCTTTTCCTTCAATGTGCCCCATGCTGATGGCCGGGGTCTGAATAGGGATATTTTCGCGAAAGTTCCGCGAAAGTTCTGCGAAGGAGCGGGCGGAAGTCAAAGTGCATGTTGAAGGGGGTGGGTCAGTAAACTTTGCGAAAAAAACTAGTCAGCAACAATCTGTCCTGAGAAGGGACTCCGTGATGCTAGCTGCATGTTTAAATAGGCTATCAAGAAGTGATCCGTGATTCTCTGGCGTAATTTGGCAGGTGGTGAACGAATCTTCATAAGAGGCGTTGTTGTCAACATGGGCCCCGCGAAAGATAAACGTGGAGTTCGCGAAAGTTTCCTGAAAACAATATTTTTATTTTCGAAGAATGGCCGTTTGCGGATAAAGGAATTTTGATCAACCATCATGTGTATACTTGTATATAGCACAACACAATCATGAGTCATTTAGTATGCAAGTGGAGTTTTGAGGCCAGAAGTACTCAAGAGCCTGTTGACGCTCCGTTTTCCTTGCGCGACGACATTAGTCGAGTTGGAACATGCTGGAACATCTTCAGCACACCTTGGTCAGGTAGATAGCAATTACCCAAATCGTTTCTTGAATCGTTCTTGCATTGTTTTCTTCCACAGACTTGTGGAAGGTGTTGGAAGATTTCCTTCAAACCCAGGGGTTAGTTGGGGTTAGGAGATGTCATGCTTGCATCGATCAGGTTCAGAACATTGTGATGGCGATGAAGAGCATGTCGGGCTAGGCTGTCGCCTCAAGTATTATGAAAACTATGTTTCGTTTTTCCGAGAGGAAAATGGTGAACACTGTGAATACTATATATTCACATGTCATTCACGTCATTCCAGTTTTTGGTTTGCAGTGTGATCATTGTGATACACTGTATCACTGTATTTTGACCAAACAGGGTCAGGTTGGCAGTGAAGTTTTGTTCAAGGTCGTGGACGAAGAAACTTGCAATTGATAGTCGTGATAGCCCCGCGATTCAGTGCGAAAAAGTGGGTTGAAAAATCACCTGCCACTTCTGCTAAAACCGCTTGCTTGTTGTTTTCTGTGGTGTCCATATCAACACGGAGCCTCTCTAGTTTCAGATCAATTTTGATGTGTTCTGGATTGTGCCTCGCAGCTTGCCAAAATAGAAAGTGACACAAGCACGTCATCCAAACTGGTGGTGGATGTTTAAGGTGATTGTGAGAAACTACCCACAAAGTTTCATTCTAGATGCATAAGGCCCGTTTTCAGAATGTTACATTCAAAAGTTGGGAGGTTTCCAAGCTCACTGGTTTCCTTTATCCGAAGACTATGAAAACTATGAAGACTGTTTGGGAGACTTGGGGTCTTCGCATATGTTTCTGCTCGCCATGGCGTGCCTATCATTGCTTTGTGACAATTGTGACAAACATGGACTGGGATGAAGAATGTCCGGCACTAAGAAACAAGGACTGCTCGAGACTGTTTCAGCCATCATGCTGAAATATGCTGAATGACTCTTATCTTGAGTTGTCGCCATGTGACTGCGTTGCATTTAATCCTAAAACAGCAAAAACAGTCCACACACCAAGGTTCGCCCCACAAATCGCATGGATCACTGAGGTCCAGTTTGAAGTGTCAGTGTGGTGCATTTTCGCTTATGGTGTGTGGAAGTCCTTCGTTGTTCGACCAGCCTAGGTGTAGTCATGGATATATGCATTCTAAACCGTCATGAACCTTGTGCTTCTAAGAGCGCATAAGAATGTAAACCATACTGCGTTCTTGAACAGCTTGTTTGGATGATGCCTTGTTGTAACATTCGCTCGAAGCAACTGGTCGCATACTGGTGCCATATCAGCCCTTCCCGGTCCAGGCAAGTGGAAGGCATGATGATGCTCGCAGGCCTTGTCTGGTGCAGTAATTTCAGTCACCAACTATTCAATTCCAGGGTTCGAGAGTTTCGACAAGTGGAGGCTGCTTGCTGTTGTGGGTCTTTTCGAGCGCATCAGTGCAGGCAGGAACGCTGGCAGGAACACTTTCAGTCTAGGTCCTAGGTGCATGCAAAGCCAAGGAAGGATCAGACTGAGTGCGGGGCATGCAGGAAGATCAAAACGAAAGAAGAAAAAATGACGGGAGGGTTACAAGAGGGATACCGTAGTGGGTTTTCCCTGTTTGGAATGTGGGCATTTCAGTTGCCAGAGAGAGAGAGAGAGAGAGAGAGGGAGAGGAGAGAGAGGGAGAGGGAGAGGGAGAGGGAGAGGGAGAGGGAGAGGGAGAGGGAGAGGAGGGAAAGAGGGATGGAGGGGGAAAGGGATGGAGAGGATGGAGGAGAGGGAGAGGGAGAGAACAATAGATTGACAGATAGATTGATCGATAGACTGATTGATAGATTGATAGAGACAGAAAGAGCGGGAACGCGCTCTAATTGCCCACTCTTTAGACCATTTTGCTGTTGTCAGGTGATAGCAACTGACGTGTTCAGATTTCAGCAGCCGCTATTTGTTTGGTCCTCAGCATTTGTGGCGACTGAGCAGCGGCCATGCTGAGTTTTGGCCAATGTCAGCTATGAGGTCACGCTGTTTAACTCAGTGGTCGGGATCATCCTCTTGTGGCCGTACCTGCCATGCAGGCCGCATATGCACTTGCAACTGGCAATAATTTTCACCTAATTTTAGTTACAACCAGAGAGTTGCACATTGGAGTCTCAGAATGCCTCAAAAGTATCCACGTATGCTCTGAAGATGTTTGGGGGCAGACTTCATTCCAAGCAGTGTGGAGTCAGCCTTGGGTAGAATTCCTTACAGAGCAAATAATGCGAAAACAAGAACGTAGTCAGAAACCAAACTTTGAGCCTTGCAAACCCAGTTTTCTATTCTATAGGGGGGTCTTTCTCCTAATCACTTGGACTCGGTTTTTCATTCTATAGTGGATACTTTGTTCAACGTGGCGGCCAGTGTGAAGCTGGATTTTCATTTATAGGAGTGGCAGGGGGCTGCTAACTTGGCAGGGTTTCCATTTTATAGGGAAAATCCCACCTCGTCGACTTGGGTTTTCGAGTTAGTCCCTATAGAACTGAACACGAAAGGTTTGGTTCGAATTCCAACAGGATTCCGGATCCATTTGAGCGACTTTTTTTTTTTGCATCCCCACTGCCGCCCGCGTCTGGTCTACCAGTATAAATGATTGGACACAGCCTTCCCGGGCTCTACCATAAGCCAACATCTTCCCTCACAGTGCTTTGCCCGAGCGCACATTCAAGAGGAGTCAAAGAGGTACCGGTATCAATCAATAAGTCCCGACATGAACTTTAAGCGATGCAGAAACCTGGTCCACACAGAAGACAATGATGACACCCATACCATCCATGCCCCTTGGTGCCCCGTATCACGAGGGCAGTGGATTCTCATCATTTCTGCAGTTTCAACATGTTTCTTGAAGGTCACAAGGTCAGAAAGGTGGATCCAAACCCCTTCACCTTGATGATGTTGGCACCTCAGCATGGAGAATTCGATGTGGGATATGTGGAGAATCAATGAGGCCTAGCATCGCAATGGTTTTTTCGGGGGACTGCCCCTATAATCTATTCCCTTCAACTTAAAAGATCTTAAAACTATGTTGTCTATTGTTATCTATCTTCAATAGCCACCAAAAAAACCAGGTTTGGTACTGGATCATCTGGATCTATACATTTTGTGGGCCCTGAGAATGATGGGAGATGGCCGAGGTGACCCTCACGGCAACAGCCAGGATGTCTTGCTCGGCTCTCCCGACCTGGTTTTCGTTGGTCCCAAATATTCTGGGTTTTAGGGGACTAAGCATGGATTTGGTCATAAGCACGCGAAATGGATCAAAATGGTGGATTTGGTTGAACATCCCATAGTTTGGAAAGCACCTTTTCTTTTGTGCCAGGTTGGTGTGCTTTGGGTTTGCTCGCAGTGTATGTACAATGTCAGTCGGGGGCACAGCATCAACAACGGTCTTTGCACGGTGTTGCAGAACTTGGGAGATAGTCGTAGGTTTTGACGCAGTAGAGGCAGTCCATTGTTTGGAAAGCAAGTCTGGGCCAATGCATCTTGGGTTCCTGTGCAGATTCTTGCTTTCGTGGCATGAGTAAATGCACGGGCACATCAGGTTTGTTGCACACTTCTGTGGGCGCCTGAGACAACCCCGTATTGTCGGACAGTCTGTGTGCACAGCCTGTAGTGCTTGTGGCCTTTGGCGACACAGGTGGCAACCAACACCGTGCTTTCATCCACGTCTTCAGTCGAAGCCTTATGGGAAGTCCCTGACGGCTGGCAGTAGGAGTTCATGACGGTAGTACTGTACTGAGTATAGTTCAGTATGACTGGTTCGTTTGGAAACTAACCAGACTATGCTGAGGTTTTTACATTCCTCTTCTCCTTGTTGCTCACAGAGAGCAAATTCAGGCATGGGTAGGGTGGCCGTCGAGAATTAGACGACGTAGTGTTGCAGACACAAATGTCACGCGTCAGATTGAAACATATCAGTTCATAACAATTATATATATATAAACCAGCTCATAACTTACAACTTGGCTATATACCACACGTACATCAAGATGTGTATAATTTTTTGGACAATCTCATTATAATCAGCTTCGCTTCTCCATTTTCAACAGCTTCTGTGAACTCCTGGCCCCAGGCGATGGTCGTGCATTGGGGTGATCCTTTGCTTCCTGGGCTGTTGCTTGGTGGCCTGCCAGGTGCCATGGAAGGGGAATGAGTTGGAATTCGTGCGATTTTAGAGAGGAATTCACAGCTTAGCTATCTTTTCAATCCTAGTCTCAGCAACCTAGTCTTGATGCTCCACATTTTTTCAAACAACTTTTTCTTCCAAAAGGAAACATTGGCCTGTGGGCTGCTAGAGCACGGGTAGTGGGCCATACCAGGAACAGATGTCTTGTGATGTCTTGAATGAAACATGATGAAACCAGGATGTTTTGCATGGCCTCGATGGGCTGTGTTCAGTTGGACCGGATACCACCGGACTTTCTGATTCAGAGTGTTTGGCTCACATGGAGCAGATGTCAAAGACATTTGAAGACGCACCCAACATCCCACAGAGGCATCGCTGGCCAACTCTTTCAGCAAAGGAGCTGATACTGTTGCCTTCCCAATAACACCCAATAACACCCAATAACCATCAATAGCCATCAATAGCCGATTGAGTTTATACCCTTTTCTTTTATCCCTATGTCTGTGTTCGGGGTCCAAGGTTCTGGTTCAAACGTGTTGCGAACCTGACAGAAACCATCCCAGAGGGAGCAAACCGTTGGGAGTGCACAGTTCCTTTCGCTGTGGGACTGCCCATGTCGCCGATTCCCTCATGAACTTGTGGTCAACATGGCTGTTGGGGGCTTGGTGTGGAAGGAATAAACGCACAGGTACTTTTGTTTCTCGTTTGGCTTGCACTGCTTCAAGAAACGAGATCTGGGTTGCACGAAGTCATTTCTTGAGTTTTTCTTTTCGGTTGTTTTTGGCAGTGCTGTGATTTGTGCTTTAATGAGTGTAGGTTGCTCTCCCCAACTGTTGGGACATGCTGGGACAGTGCCCGGTACCAGAGCCTTTCAAACTTTGATTTCTGGAACTCCAACCATTCAGGCTTTTTCCAGCCCTTCTCCGCTGCAGACTCAGGGCAGACTTATTCTTTTGTCAAGACTGGTGCAGATTCACGAAATCATTCCTGCTTCACCCCTTCTACTTGATGACCCCAAGCAATCTCATCAGAAGTTCGTGCCAGGGCAGCGATTGCAGAGTTGATTCCAACATCAAACTCTGAAGTGCTGCAGAAGGCCAATAGACCTAGCAGGCTGGACTGGTGCCTTTGATGCGGTTGTTTGTGCAGACTGGTATCATGCTTCTAGCCAAGTTTTGAACCACCAAGTCCTTTGAAAGGCGGCTCTCAGGTTGCTTAGAAGATGTCGCGTCATGTGTTTTTTTTTTTTTCCGGGAAAACCAATGGTTGGGGCCGTCCTCCATTATTCTTGCGCAGCTTTGAGTCGAGCATTGACCCCCCTCCAGCTGCAAGGCGCTTGCATAGTGCCCCCCGAGAGGCTTCAAATGCTATGTGCTGCCCTGAGCTTTGCATTGGTGAGCCTGGGGAATAGTCCACTTGGTTCCCCCATCAACATCCATTAACATTCCATCAACTGTTTATGCGCGTGTTGGATTATTCGTTTGAATCGACTGTCTTATTGTGCATGTTCCAGCACCAGCAGAGTACTAAAAGTACGAGTTGTACAACTTACACTTTGGGTAGATCTGGGCAGGTTCCTCCGCGCAGTCTATCGCTTGTCAGTGGTATAAGCACTTTGTGTGGAGGTTGCAATTAGCGCATACAGCATACATACACGTTTGGCTGCAAATGACATTTGAATCTTGGATTTCAAGAGAACGACTGGTTTTTGACTCCTGTTCCGCTTCCACACTGGTTGCACATGTTTAAGCATCTTTCAGCATGGCCTGTAGATACCACTGTACATATCATATTCCCAGTTATTCCCACATATTCCCACAGAAGGTTCAACACAGGCTCAACCAGTTCCAATCTTGAGTATATATCTTCAACCAATCCCTTGCTATTGTGGGTTCATCTCAAAATATTGGCAATCCCCAAGATGCATCAAGATCCCATGCTGTATCCAGGTTATATGAATATATATATATACGTATATATATATATATATATTAATGTATATATATATCCACCATTTTTCCATATTTTTCCAACAGTTTCCCATATTTTTCCATATTGGATATTTCCCAAATGGGGGTTACCCATGGGTACCCCAAATCCAAAATTGTAAACTCCGCCCAGGCGGCGCTGGCCACTGCCCTGCACCGCGGAGCCAAGAATGCTGGCGCGACCGGTGCCTCGCAAGGCCTCAAGTTTTTGGGCCATCGAACAAACGTGGATGAACCAGTGGATCCGATAACATGATGATAAGTGGATGAACTGTGGATATCATGAACGAGGGATAACATAGCCAGTTCATGTCATTTGTCATAGGGAAATTGATGATGGCCAGTGGATACCGGTGAATGGGGACCAGTGGATTCACCGATTCACCATAACCAGTGGATTTACCATCTGAAAACGGGAAATTGATGAACCAGTGGATGGAATGGGGTAGCCTATTTTCAGACAAAGCCATACAAAGATATGAATCAATATGAATGATTCCAACCTACCCCAACTTGAATGTGTTTGAATCTGATTAAACCTGATCAAGATTTTGTTGACATTTGCCGACCCTGATGGCTTGCAGATCTCCTCCTCATTGCCTGCGCTGACGGGCTGGCCAACGCGATCAAGCAGAAGCAAAAGTTTAGGTTCGGTGGGCTGCGAGGCTGGGAGATTTGGGGGAAACCCCGGCCACTGCAAGGCCGACTGCGTTCCGGCCAGAGCCTCAAAAACTGAGAGGACAGGAGCGGTTGAATGAAGACATAATAGACATATTCATACCATTGAATATCCATTGAATACCATTGTGAACCATGGTGAAGTGTGCACAAATGCTTAGGAAGTGTACCATTGGCCGACAGACCCCAACAGGTGCACTTTCCAGAAGTTCCAGGGTCAACTTGAAGGACTTGATGAAATTCAAGCACCATCTTTGGAAGGTACTAGTACCAGGTTGAGCTGACCTTGTCAACTATACTACATAATTTCAATGTATTTTATTGTATGTATATTACGTACATCATACATCACTTGTATATTTCTTTGTATCAACGGTTGCGCCCCTACCTTCCTAGATGGTCCGGTCACCCATCGAATTGGAGAGAACACAAAGCCAATCATAGTCAGCAGGATCATTCCCGAGACCAGTGGAATATGTTGTTGATGTCTCCATTTTTGATGGGTGCTACTTACCCCCAGTATTGCTTATCCTTTCCAGCTTTGATTGTTTGGACATCGACTTGTATCTTCATTGTTCTCTGTCCACATCCAAGTTTCTTGATTTTTTAATTGATCCCAATTCTTGAAGGTTACATCCTTATGAGCATATTCACTTGTTTTATTCACATGTATTCCCAACACATGATCGTGACATATCATGACATATCATGACCCTTACGCCGACGGCAGACCTTCCATGGGGCGCTGGGTCGGCTTGGTGTGGACCATCCGAGCAGGCGGGATCTAGTGGGAATGTGGATACGTGGCACATGTGGCACACGTGGTGCTATGATATTGATATTCATATGAGTTCATATGATGCTTCACTATGCCAAAATAGATTTCACATGTCCGGCTGCCAAATTTTCCAATCGACTGCAGGTCGCCAGAACCTAAAGCCACTGATGCTGCGGAGTTGAACGAGGCAAGCTGGGGCCCGTTTCTCCCGTAGGCGGATGTTTCTAAGATTTGGGAAGGCTTGGGAAAGGTGAAGTGCTGATCACAGGATCCTGGATCGCCCACCTCGCCTACAGGGCACGAGGCGGGGCTGCATCCCTGGAGATCGAATGATTCCAAGATATTCAAAGAACACCAGGAGATTAGCCATGGCAGATTCAGCCACGAATTAGATATTCCAAAATAGTGACACGATTATAAACCATTGGGTGCATCTCGATGTCTTTTGATTGCAAGGGGTGCAGGTGTTTTGATGACAGAATCCTTATCGTCAATTTTCAGCCACTGAGAGCCGCTTGAGGCTCGCTTTCACTTGGAACTCAAGCGCGTGAGTTCTGAAGTGAACGAGGCGAGGAAGCGCTCTCTGGGCCTGTGATGATGATTATCGTGCGAATTTTGCCATCAAGATAGTTCATAGATCGGATATGATCAGATAATATCAGATATATAATATATGATAACATCAGATATAATTTCGTACAAATTTCACACAATAATAAAAATTGCAAATGGACGTGGAGAATGAGAAGATTGGATTTTTTCACCATCGGAGCCGAGGTTCACCGACGCCAGCTGTCTACCCGAAGACATTTGGAGCAGGTGAAGCGAGAACTTTCCAGTTGGTCTCCTCAGCGATCCACAGGTTGGGAACCTCATGGAACCTCCCAACTTTCGTGACTTTCGTGGCTTTCGTGGCTTTGTTTCTGGTTATATCTGGTTATGTTTTTATGTTATGTTTATTGCTATGTTTGGATAATTAGGAACTTGCAAGATGAACGATAATGAAATATGTTAAAAGATGGCAACGCATGTTCATTGTTCCAGCGGGAATCAAAATGGAGCACGGAACCGTGACCGTCTAGGTTCAGTGGCCGGCATTGTCCCATATTCCTGCGTTTGAAACAACCAGCTTCACACCCTGGATCAGCAAATGACCGGATAGTAAAACACAATACACTATATATATATATATATAATACAATTATATACACACGTATATTCATATACATATATACATATATAGTATTATATTATATTTTTATGTTATATCAGCTATCACTGTGCATAGTGACAACAGCACTCAGCATGGCATGCAAGGGACGAGCTTGAGTTTGAAAGCTTGATCTGCAGCACTCAGCTTCCAAGGTGATAGCGACATCAATCTCAAGGCCAGATTTTTTCATCGGTATCTCATCTTATCTCCTGGAAAAAGTTGTCCATTGTCCTCCATTTGTGTGCGAGTCTTGGACTGACCAGGGGATACGGAACCAATATGAGATTGTTGTTGCGCATATTTGCTCTAGAGGGGACAGCAGATGAAGGACGTTTCAGGTACCCAGCCGAAACACAGTTTTTCTGGTGAAGAAAAGCTTTCTGCATGCGTCAAATCAATTGTCCACATGTGGTTTTGGCAACAGCCAGGCCATAGCTGATTTCCAGGCGAAGGTGAGGGCAACCGAAGCAGAGGTCGCCGATCACGCTGACAAAGGGCTGGTTCGTGACAATTCTTTACATAATGAAAACACATTCTGAAGTGACATTGTGTTATATTGGTCTTAAGACGTCTTAGCAACGAAACAACCGGAAAAACAGAAGGCACAGAGATCACGATCATGATGATGTTTGGCAGCAGCATAACATTTTACCAGTCAAAAACCTTTGCTCCTTTGAAGCATTCCACTGCCCAACGCTTAGAAATCTTAGAGGCTGCACCAATATCCTTCAAATGACAGTTTGATATCTAAGCTTTTAGTGTCACGCCATCTCAACAACCAAGCTGCTGGGGTTCCGACGGTTCCAACGGTTCCAACGGTTCCAACGGCCTCGGCAGGTCTCTGACTTGCTGGGGAGTTTCATGCACGAGTGGGACACCTTCAACCCCGTGAGCGAGGAGCTGCAGGTGGGCCCTCGAACAAGTCGGCCATGTGGAATCAGCATTGGATGATTTGGATGAAGACCAATTTGGGTCACTTGTGCTTTTCTGGTTATGTTGGGCTCCCACGGGAAACACAGACGTTCACCCAGCAGCTGGAAGGTAATTACTGAAGAACATGGGATCCTGAATTCTGATTCCAATTATTTGAAGTATTGTTTGATTCACCTCTTTAAAGGGTTTGTTATTGTGAAGCCCTTGTAGTACTTTACCGGTATGTGTGAATAGCAGAAAAATCTGCATCCTGCAGATTGCCGACATGGGCAACTTCCGATATCTTCCCCACTTGCCACAGAGGCTTTGGCCAGCGAAACTGATGCCCTGACCGAAACCGATCAACGGATGAACGAGCTGCTGGAGCGCATGTCCAGGTGCACCATTTGGCCACCCTGGAAATGTGGTAGTTGCTACCATAGATGTCGCGTTATTGTTGGTATAAAAAGACCTGGAAGGTCCTGAAAGGGATGTGTGTATATAAAATATTATAAAATAGTATGTTGATAGTTGATATATCATGATATGACATATGATTAATCTTCAAACGGATATTATCATTGGATTACTATTGTTTTACGGAAATTTCGCCACTTGGGAAGGTAACCCTGAGCCATGGTCAGGAAGTTGGATTTCTTTGACCAAACCTTGGGCAGCAACTTGCAGCGCTGGGGTTGACAGGCGGCTGAACCGGGATCTGAATGATTTGAATGATCTGAATGTATTCTGAATGTATCCTGATGTTTCTTCGAATTCCTGAGGCTTGTAGTGCATTTTAATCTTAGATCACCTTAGATCTTCTTAGATCACTGTTTGAGGATGTGCAATTGGTAGCACAACCAATCTGATCAATGTTACACTTCTCGATTTATCCAATGTTGGACCAACACAAGATGCTCAGCAAGACATGCGAACCATCGCACAGCAAATCTGTTTTGCACTCGCGTAAAAGTCCCTCCCTGGTTTGAGAGGTATGTTGCAGCAATGACATGAACATGAAGAGTCAGCTGTGCTATGTTGGGTTACATGTGGTCAGTGGAAGTCGAATCTGTTCATCACCCATACTTCTTGGTTCTTCATGATCCTGCCATGGCCACATACAGGCATTGGCCATTCGGGCCACTTCTTCTACAAAGTGAGCCTCTTGCTCACTTATCTTCTTCAACATCTCTTGCTTCTTCATCTTTCTGCCGGATACAAACTTCTCATCATGTATGAGTCTCCAACGTTGGTGGCCCATCAGCAACTGCAGTATGACCTTGCGCTCGTTCTTCTTGGTTAAGCAGTCGGCCAATTGTGCAACTCCTCCCACAAACGCCACACGATTTGAGAGCGGTGTCGTTGTTTTTTTTCCTTGAGCCAATTGTTGAACAATTGGTTCAAGGAAAAAACAACGACACCGCTCTCAAATCGTGTGGCGTTTGTGGAAGGAGATGAAGAAGGACGGTGTCTCGTTGGAGTCAACAAGTGTAGATGATGTGTCAAAGGATGCATTTGCTTCTGACTTGCCGCGGCCCGGGCAGAAAGGCTTCAAGATTCTTCAGGTCCATGGTATACCAAGGCAAAATGATTGCTGCCGAAGTGGATAAACTGAACCCTGAGGAAGGGAAGCGCCTGTACAAGGAGATGCGCCTGTACAAGGCCAAATCATCACAATTGACGACGGAGATCATACGGCAGCATCATGCCGAACAGGCTGAACAGTTCAGAGGAGATGGCACCAACCTCTTAAAAGAAATGCTTCGAGAAGGTGTTTGGCCAGATAAAGACGTTGAAGCAGTAGAGCCAACCACTGAAGAAAAGAGAAGCATCCACAGCCGAATTTTGAAGGATGGCATGTGTCTGGCATGCGGCAAGCAGTGTGATGACAGTCACGCAAGGTCCAGTGCGCACCAACGGGTGCTCTCATGGAATACTTTGGTGATGCTGTCTTCGAGCTGCCCAAGGTGCTGATGAAGGCCCTCGAAGACAGCATCACCAAAGTATTCCATGAGGCCTTTCTGGTGCAAACCATTTAGGGCTGGCCGCTGTGCATTCTTGAAGCGTCTTGGGTTTGTTTAAGTCGATTTTGTTTTTATTTCTGTGCCCAATGGGGAGAATCCATCATCTGGGGATTCCATAGTATAGGTTTTTATCGGTCTTTTTATTCACGTCGCTTCGCGGCGGCAACCGCCCGCACCGCATCGTTCGTAACTGCCAATGATGTCGGCCATTGAGACCAAAAACATCCGAAAGTACTGATTGTCGGAAAAAAACACGCGAAGAATTTGATAGCCATGTATAGCGGACCAACACAGTTCAAAAAATAACGAAAAACATGAAAAAACGGCGAAATTGCTCTTATTTACAGTGTTTTTGCGCGGTGAGAAGCAGAAACCACTGCAAATACCATGGTTTTTGAGGGTCAGGTGGCCAAAAACACTGTAATTTACAGTGTTTTTTTAACCAACGTCAAAAAACACTGGTATTTACGATGTTTTCATTCACACCGTAACATAAAACAGCGTAATTTACGAGGTTTTTGGAAGTTTTGAAGCTAGCCGTCAAGCATGCAGAAAACAGAAAAACACTGTAAAAACCAGTGTTTCTGCTATCACAAAACGACGAAAATCAGTCCGAAAACGGGTCCAAAAACTCAAAAATCCGCCTCCGGGCCCGGCCACCTGCGGAACCGCAAAAAAAGATGTTGCAAACCAAAAAATTGAGGTCAAAAAGTTGAAAAACACGGTTTTTTTCACTTTTCGCTTGCCGATTTTGGACGGGCGCGTTCACGAACAGGTGTCTTCCGTACTGTTTTTTACAGTGTTTTTTGAAGGCGAGCGTCACGACCTATCAAAAACAGGAGGTTTTGGCCGAAAAATGCCCCCCCCCCCAGGTAAACCTGTAACCTTTTACGAGTGCCATCCGGAAGATCACGCCCCAGCACCTTCGGTGCGGGCGGATTTTTGAGCCCCTTTAGCAAATCCAAGGCGTGGACGCAGCAAAAATGCCAAAAGACATGTGATAACCAACGAGTCCATCACAGGGTTTCACTTTGCCGCTGTCAAGTACGATGCAAGCAGCGGCAAGTACGGGAATTCCACATACGACAAGACAATGCTGCGTCTTTACCACGAAATTCCCGATGACGGCCCACTCCCTGACCCAAATGCAAGTGGGAGTGGGAGTGGGGAGAATGCTAATCACATCACATGGTGGCCTGTTATCATCTTGCAATTGCATGATGATTCAGTTCAAGTGGTTCGGGAAGTGACACCTGGACATGTTTATGTCATGATTGCTTTTACCAGGTTGTCACGAACCCAATTTGGGCCTGGACAATGGAAATCGTGGAGACGTGATTTCCAGTCATCCGCTGTCCATGGCAAAGGGTGCATGCACATCAGCGTTTGGACACATTTGAAATGCTTCCTGTCTAACATATTGTGTAAATTATGTGTTCGTAATTATATACATCTTGGATCTAGAATCATGTCAGATAATAAACACATACCATGTTAGTGTATCTATATCTATATCTATATATATATATGTTAGTATATATATATATATCATCAATTAACACAACATGTATATATGATTATATATGTAAATGTATACGTTGCTATGCTATTTACTGTGGTTGCTATAATTCACTAGATTTTCTTGTTTTGGCAATGCACCTCAGCTGGTACCCTGACTCTGTAGCGTTGTGGCGTTTGCGCCGGGCCTATGGATGATGGGGAAGGCATGTGAGCCAGGGATGCCAGGGAAAATGGTGGCTTGGCCCAATCCAATGGGCAATGTTGTTGGCTCTGCAAAGCAGAAGAAGTGACAAATTCCCAGTGTCATGTTCAATCATGGTGCTTTGATTATAGATTTCCTGACCTTTGTACAAGTCGCGAATGATTTTGTATGATTTTGTATGTAGCTTGCACAAATCCAAAATGTGTTTGGTTTTTGGTTTCACATCTTTTATAACCTGATTGTTGTGTTGTGGCGCTCACGCCGGGCCAACATCAGTGCGCACGCAGTGAGTGAGTGATTCAAATTATTTGAATGGACAATGATGCACGACGGTACTCGTCTACAATTCATATGCATCTCATAGAATACTATGTATAGATTAGACATGTTGTGATGAAACAATGCATGCAATTGTATATTCAATGTCATTCAATCATTTGACTATTTCGCAACATTCAGCTTCCAGACTACTTCGCAACATTCAGCTTCCAAACATAGACAAATTTACTTGCAGGAAGCTTTTGTCTCTTGTCTTCATACTTTGTATGTAGTCATGAATCAAATTATATTGGAATTGTGCATCCGTCAGCTAGTAGATTAGTAGATTTTTCAAGTACAGCTGGCTGGACTGCAGTTGTGTATCCAACCAATGCAACAGCATGCCCCAGACCAATGATGCGCAGATCTAGTGCACAGCACGGCAAGCTTCAAAAGTCGTGGCCGCTTCCGTGGCATCAAGGCATTTCTGTCGCTTGAGTGTGTATGTCCAACTTGACACATGTCTCCAAACCTTTTTCCTGTGCAGCAGGCCTGGGTGCTGGAGGAACAGATGCCATAGGCCTGGTTCTAAGGGGCGACCACTCGCTTGTACACCCCGATTCTCACTCGCTTGTACACCTACTATTTCCCTCGCTTGTACACCCATGAAAATCATGATCATGATCATGGGGATCATCATCATCACCACCACCACCATCATCATCATCATCACCACTGTGTGGGTACACAGGAACATGAACGTTATTGTCCCACCCCACCCCACCCCACCCCACCCCACCGGTATTTGATCATGAAAGAGCAGTGCCTGTGTCTGCAGGACAGCAAGAAAGATGATGAGGTTGCGGTGCCTGTGTGTGCCACAGCACCCCACAGCCAACAATGATGAAAGTGCAGTGGCTTTTTCCAGAATGAGAGATGATGAGGGTGCGCAAGTGAGTGACATTTTGCTCACTGGGTGCGCAAGTGAGTGAGGGTGCGCAAGTGAGTGAAATTTCGGGTGCGCAAGTGAGGGTCTGGCCGTTGGAGGTCATGTTGGTGGGTGGCTTGTCCATGTTGATTGAAGTCATGCCAGAAACTTGCTTTCCATGTTCATCCAAAAACTTCATAGTTGAGGCATTGCATGACTCATCCACAGGCTTTGTGAAGCCTTTCGAATTTGTGTACTGCTCACCCGCAGTCTCATAGGACTTTGTTCCGCCACCATCCAACATGGCAGGCCCATCAGTCTGATGGAAGGTCGACGCAGACTCCGTACCCATCCTTGGATCCGGACAGCGCGCACCCGGGCCAACGCAGACTCCGTCCCCATCCCCGTTCTTGGGTCCGGACAGCGCTGCGCCCTTACCTGCCCACTCATCTTCGCCTGAAGCTTGGACAGCCTCTGCTTCAGGCTCTCCACCTGGCTCATCGTCCACCAGGTGGACTTCCTCCTCCATCTCTTCCGTTCCAGCAAGCTCCCATTCTGGGCTCGACGTCACATCCTACGCCTTCTTTGGAGCTGCCTTCGCCTTCATCTTGCTCGCAGCTTTGGCCGTGGACTGCATAGATTGGGCTGCCTTCTTCACCAACTCCACAGCTTCGGCAGAAGCTTGTCCTGCAGCCGTCTTCTCCAGGTGGTTGATCAGCTCGTTGGTGGCAGCCTCCTGAACTCCGTTGTCAACGTCGGGCTCTTCATCTTTGATCCCTTGGCCGGCGACGATGGCTTCTGGCGTCCCATCCTCTTCATGTAGTCGGCATAGGACATGTTGATGGCCATCGTGTGAGTCACTTCCATCTGGAGCATCCGGCCTTCAACTTCCATCAGTCGCCTGTTGACAATCTTCTCGTTGACATCCTCGGCATTGGTGTCCTTCTCCAGGGATTCCATCACTTGCCGAATCGTGTGAGGTGCCGGCCCCATGTGACGATGTTCTCCTGCATAGGCCGCACTTCAGGCACGTCTCCCATGTGGAGTATTGGTTGGTCCTTTGCTTGGTCACATGGTTGGACCAACATGGAAATCCCTCTTTCCGAGGATCGTCCTGAGCACATGGTTCCATCGTCGGGTTGCCGTCGATCTTTCAGCTGTTGAAGCTTTTGAGCCAGTAGCTGAAGTCGATCACATAGTGGTGTTCTGCTCTGGCTGGTCGTGCTCATGACGAAAAGTGGAAGAAAAACTTCACCATGACAAACATGATTTTCCAAAACATCTTTTTTTGCAGCAAAGGTTGGAAGAGATTGCACCATGTAGTTTGGGGAATCCATCATCATTGCAGACTCTTTCAAATCCAACGTCCTGTGCCATGTAGGAAGAATCTCAGTGGGAACCGCAAACATGCCAAACTCATCTGAATCCCGTGGTCCGGCCTCGAAAATCATCATGGAGTTGGCATAGGAGATGTGTGCACGTTGTTGGAATAAACCTTTGGAGCCCAAAAGAGGTGGTGTTTCACTGGCGGTTCCACCAAGAACATAAAACACAACTTCCCCCAATGCGGTGCCCTTGATGTCAACCCTGCTCATAGCTTGCATCTTCAAGCCATTGCCAAATCTGAAGACCGGGCGATTATCCATGCAGACATCGTAGTGGAAGTTGCCATAGTGCAGTCGTTTGGACAGGGAGTCAGCACCAACAGCACTTTCTGATGCCCCCGTATCCACTACTATTCTGGTAAAACTGTTCCTAGCTTTCATTCCACATCAACGTCAAAGTACAAACATCTGCATAAAATTTCTTCCCTTTGAACTTGGATTTACCTTTGCCTTTTCCTTTTGACCTTCCCTTGAACGAACCTTTTCCGGCTCCTTTTCCAGGGCTGAAACGGTCTGGACAGTCGGCAGAAAGATGCCCACGCATGCCACATCGAAAGCACGGCCCAGTGATGCCCCTGCCTTTGCCGCTAGGCTTTCCACCAGAACCCTTTCCAGTCATGCGTGATGCGCTCGAAGACGTCATTCCTTTCCCACTATTGGCCTCAGGGGAAAAGTATCCACGAGCACGGCGAACTTTTCTAACACCCTCACGAGCTTCTTT